TCCTTTACTTTCCCCTCACCTTTCCCCTCCACTGCATTTCTTGTTCAGACCTCATTTCAGTCTTGCCATTTTCAGCTCTTTTAAGAATTAGGTCTAGCTCTACCCTAAAAGGCTTCTAGCCTGAATCTGACAAAAAGATGTCTGTGTCCTGCATTTTTCAGTAAGGATAGAGACCATTAACCTATTAATCAGACTTTAGGATTATAGGAGGGGGAAAAAATCCACCTCCCCCCTTCTGATCAAGGTGAGCCCGTCAGCCGACTGATGTGCTAGTTTTGCTTTATCCACGTAATGTAGTACTTGAGAAAATCAAGGCTGCTCGAACCTTTTATCTCTTGGGTTTCCTCCCATAAGAATAAGGAAGATACGGTTTTTCAATGCTATTGCACAAAGTACTTCCAAGGATGAAAGCAAACTGTTGAAATCTGAGTGGCAGTTCCGTCCCACTCCTCTTCATGTGAGTTATGAAAAGCTTGCTCATTGTGATTTGTAGCACATTCACGTGCATTGATTCCCTCTCGCCCGCCCCCCATCCCCAGCATAATAGAATTTTGGCAAGTCAGCTCACTTCTGTTTGTCTTGTTATTTGATTTATATCTAGAGGTGGGAGGAATGGTCTATTTTATTTGTTTCCTGGCTCGGAAAACAGTTTCCTCAAGGAACCACATGGGGAAGAATAACACAGCAGCAAGATTCTTTCACACATTTATCCTGATATTTGCGCACCATGAAGTGTTCTGTGGAATGATTATTCAAGAAACACACACAGGTTAATATTCTACATCAGCTGCCTGATGAAATAGACTTATTGTATACATAAGTCTAAAAATTTTAGCCTGAAAAATGAAACCCTAAATCCTGGCTTTACTTATCTATGAGTCAATGTGTATAGTGTATCTTAATTATTATGGGAAAAAAGAACCATCCCCTTCTCTCAGTAGACTGCTGAAAGGTGAGAGCTTGGTCCATCCCAGYAGAATGTAAAAGAGGCACGGAGTCARCCTTTTCTCTACACCAGTGGTTCCCAACTTTTTTTTTTTGACCAGGGACCATTTGACWAGGGACCACTTTGATCAGGGACCACTCTCTGACATTAGTACCAAAAGGGRTATGAATCAGTTTTGGTCAACTTTAGATTTGATTTGGTTATTTGGCTGCTGTGCTGGTACAGCTGTACRAGGAGCTCCAACTTCATTTTCTTTCTATTTAATGTTTGCATGCATTCCAAGGTTTCAGGGGTTTTGCAAAAAGGTGACTTCCCTTGGTTTGCAGTTATAGGGCTAGCCACCTGTCTATCATTGTTGTGTTTGGTTCTGCCCCTTTCCCCAGGGATCTGGGGAGGAGAGGGAGCCATTTTTAGTTCAGTCTTATAGAAGAAAACTAAGCTATAGGACATGGACCAGCTTCACCTGCAGAAAAGCTTCATTTCATAAGAATTTCSYGGGAATTACCAGGGGAAAAGTCCCAAAGCTTTGGCTGGGAGCTTACAGCCTCTCAGCCTTACAGCATCTGGGGGAAAACAGCTTTACACACCCAAAGAACTCCAGCTGGAGAATCTACAAGCCTTGACTGGTAGGTCTACTCGGCGCCCAAGAAGCAGTTTGGATCCGGTAGTAGAACCCACATCAGCAAAGCTTAGATAGTAGACAGCCTGGGAGAGGTTAAAAATGGTTTTCCTTGTTAAAGAAAGAAATAGTTTTCCAAGCAAGGTGTCTGTCTATTGTAGACAAGTTAAGAAGCATTTGTTTGACTCATTGAAGATCTGGGAAGTATTTGCTTAATTTGTTCAATAATAAAGGACTTTGTTAAACCTTGCAAGCCTCTAAGACTATTGTACAGGAAAATCTTTGAGGGCCTCCCTTTTGAGGCACCCTGGCTTCCCGCTGGACACAAAGTGCACGTCCTATTCAAAAGACAATTTTTACAGGCCCAGCATGCGACAGAACAGCTGCTGATTCAGAAAATTGCAGGCACCACATGGAACATCTTTGGAGGAGAAGCAGCACTCAGAAGGCTTGTTGTCGCACCTTTTGTGGGTAGTCAGCCTCTCCCCTCCTGACATCCCTGTTGCCTTGGCACTATAAGAGGGTTTCACGAGACCAGTCGCTCTTATTGCAATGGTGCAGTAACGGTGAGGCCATGGACCATGTTTTAGTCCTTGGGGACCACTGGTGGTCCACAGACCATAGGTTGGAAACCACTGCTCTACACTGTGGTACTAAGGCAGGGCCAATGCTTTGCACTGCCCCTGCCACACACCAGTATAAAATCCACATTGAACTGGATTATATGGCAGTGTGGATTCAGATAATCCAGTAAAAAGCAGATATTGTGGATCAATTGCCTTGATATTCTGGATTATATGACTGTGTGGAAGGGCCTTCTGTGGAATGAATTTGCATTTTCTTAACTTCACCTGCCTTCCCCATGGATTGCACAGCTACCATTAACCATTTATTTGTTTTTTTTGATGTTCTTATTTTAATGGTTTTTTTTTGTTTTAATTGATTGTTTTGTTTTATGTTTTGTGGATATTCTGTCCCAAATGTAAGCCACCACGATTCTCTTCAGGGAGATGGTGGTGGGATATAAGAATAAAGTAGTTATTACTACTACTACTACTACTACTACTACTAATACTAACCATCCCCTGCCATGCATTGCAGTGGCCCAGTCTGTATATATGTAATTTGTGTGTGTTTGCATGCATATATATATATATATCGCAAACACATATGTTTTTGCGCATGCATTGTAATGTAATTTTGTTTTTTGGCTTTTAAAGTCCCTTCTGCTGTGTTTTAAAGTGTTTTTATGAGTGATGTTCACTCATTTGCCTAATAGGTGTATTGTGTCCATATTTGGTGTCAATTCACCCAGTGGTTTTTGAGTTATGTTAATCCCACAAACAAACATTAAATTTTAATTTATATAGATTATTATTATATAATAGACTTTAAAGCAGAAATTTCAAATTCATTTTCATTGAGGGCCACATCAGACTTATGGTTGCCTTCAAAGGACCATTGAATCCATGGATGGAGGATCCATGCATACGGAGGGCCAACTGTCTCTGTCTCTCTCTTTCTCTAAATACAGTATATTCTGGCGTATAAGACTACTTTTTAACCCAAGAAAATCTTTTCAAAAGTCAGGGGTCGTCTTATACACAGGTGTAGTCTTATGCATGGGAGTTGTATTAACTCTATATTTTAACTGGAAAAGTTGGGGGTCGTCTTATACGCCCAGTCGTCTTATATGCCGGAATATACGGTATCTACATTGTGTGTGTGTGTGTGTGTGTGTATGTGTGAGTTGGTTGGTACTCTTTAGTTTTTGCCCGATTTGGCAAAGTCTTGTATCTAAATCAAACTCCTAAATCAAACTATCCTAATCAAACTATCCTAATGAAGCAAAACAACATCTTCCAGATGTTACAGTATCACAACTCCCATCAGCTCATGATAAGGAATACAGGAGTTGTAGTCCAGCATCTGGAGCAACACATAAAATGACATGGCAGGGTGACTTTGACACATGCCCTTTAAGGTGATCACAAATGTCTGCCAAAATTACTATTGGTTCAAATATGAAATATCTGGTGGATTTCTACCAGCAGAGCTTTAGTGCACCAGCAGAAGCTTGAAGCAGTGGCCTCCCCACCTCCTCCCATCCCATAATATCTAGCAAAGAAAGATTCAAACTCAGGGTGTATCTGTATTGAAGAATTAAAACAGTTTTTCACCATTTTAAGTGCCATATTCTCATTCTATGGAATCCTGGGATTTGCTGTTTGTTGTGGCATCAGAGACCTCTGACAGAGTAGGCTAAATAACTCACAAAATACAAATCCCATAATTCTACAGCACTGAGCTCCATTGGCACTTGGAAAAGTGAGATTGCTATTAGTGTGTGTGTACTAATTTCTGCTGTGTTATACATTAAAATACCATGTAGATACTTCACTTCCTTTCCTATTAGCTTTTCTTCCCACTTCATGTCATGGGCACTTGAGCATTTTCTTTCTTTCGCCATAGTGCCTAATTTGAGAAATCTGCATTCAACTCTGTAGCTCAATACAAACTTTGTAGCGGTGCACTTAAGTATCGTATTCAGCACGGTTTTATTTTTTTTTATAGAGCAGTAAAAGCCCATTCATTGTATTATTGCTTATATATTTCATACCACTGGGGTTTCCTTGAGATGTAAACCCAGCATAATTATCCTGTGCTTGTTTCCCATTTGCTTTGGTATTGCATGAACAAGTTACAATTATGGAAGGAATTAGCTTTAATTATGGAAGAAATTGGTCTGGGTTTAGCAGGGCTGCAAACTGGAAGGGGTTGTCCTATGAATGCATTATGTTTCTCTGCATTCTTTAGATGTTTTCTTCTGTGCACTGTATTGGAGAGAGCTGGTGTGGTATAGTGGTTGAGTGTTGAACCAGGGATGCAACTATTCTCTAGGATTCATGCAGTTTGGCCCCACTTTAATTGCCATGGCTCTATGCTATGGATTCATGGGAGATGTAATTTGGTGAGCCACCAAGATTCTATAGCATTGAGCCATAGCATTTATCGTGATGACACACTGAAGTATGTTACGTCTACAGTGTGGATGACTCTAAAACTCTGGTACACCAGGATTCATGTCCACACTTGTCCATGGAAACCCACTGGGCACATCGCATCCTTCCATAGGTGCTTTGTTTCAATACATCACTTGACTGGCAGTTACGACCACTTGCCACAAACATACACACATACGTACACAATTATGGTCCCTCTTCTACTGCAGACCCTGCACAATGTTTACATTAATGGGTGAGGAAGGGGGCAGTGGAAATGTGACAGGGAGCACTGAGATATGTGGTACTATGGATAATCCCCTCTCACCGAAATGCATCCTAGTCCTGATCGGGAAACTCAACATCTTCCGTTTGTGGGAAAAAATATGGTTATGAATCGAAACAGCTCCTCACAAATTCACGCTGCCTCCCTCCATCCCGTTATGAATCAAGTGGCCAAGTTTGCTTTCAGCAAGTCTCTCAAGGAACCAGTTGGAGAGAGATGGGCCCAGAGGGGCAGGGGCTGCAAGGTCCGGCAAGGGGAGCTCCAACATGGCTGTTCTGGCTTCCCTGCTTCTCATTCCAAGGACTGCAACATGAGGAGCTGCTTCAAGACCTTGGTCTGACTGGTCTCTCGGATCTCGCCGGCTAAGAACATCTTGTCCTCCACAGTGTAGACCTTGTAGAAGTTGAACACCAGGTCAAGTTCACAGACGTTGTGGAAGTATTCATTCAAAACCTCCACAAAGTTGTGAATGGCTTCTAGGTAAGCCAAGTTGTTGTCATTCACATCTACACAGATGCAGAAATGAAGCCCTGCATAGCGCCTGTAGATGATTTTGAAATTGCGGAACTCAACAAAGTTGGTGTGCTTCACATCTCGGACAGTGACCACTGCGTGGACCTCTTCAATTAACTTCTGCTTCTCATCATCATCAAACTGCATGTAACTCTTGGCCAGGCATGTTTTGCCAGCTCGGTTCTGGATCAGAATGAAGCGGATCATAATGGTGGCTGCCTTGAAGCCCTCCTTCCACACAGAACTCTGTGGCAGCTGGCTCAACTCCCCCACACAATCATTCCTTCCAACCTCAAAGATCGCTAATAATAAACTCCTTCTGAACAAATCTTGTCAAGAAACCCCTCTGATATGTTCACCTTAGGATTCCCTTAAGTTAGAAATGACCTAAAGTTACACAAAAACAATAAACAATATTGGGACGTTTTCCAGATATCATGAACATAATAATTCACTTTAATAGTAATACACTGTATTTATATTCCTCTTTATTTCCCCGGAGGGACTCGAAGCGGATTACAGTTTTACATACATAAGACAAACATTCAAGCCAGAACCTTATCCCCTTTCCCCACCCTCTTTTCTCAACCCCTTTTCCCAAAGTCCATTTCCCCCATCCAAACCTGCTTAGTACCCATACCCGCAAATCCTTCCCCTATGATCCCTGGTCTTACCTTTCCCTCTTTTCTTTTTAACCTATATCTGTAACAAAACTCTTAATGTTTTTTTAAAGGCAAACATTTAATGCCTTTTTACACAGTAAACAATGACATACAATACACAGATAGAGGTAAAGGCTTTCCCTTCCATCTCTGGCATCTGGAGGTGATGCTCAGCTTTGGCCATTGGGAGGTGCTCTTGTTCCATTTTCCATGCTTAAGAGCCTGCTGTCTGTAGACATCTCTGATCTTTTTGCCAGTATGTTTGCATGGGGCACCCTTTAACCTCTCAGCCGAGGTGGTACCTATTCATTTATTCGCATTACATACTTTCAAACTGCTAGGTAGGCAAAAGGTGGAGCTAACAGTCAGGAGTTCATCCCGACTTGCGGCTTTGAACTGCTAACCCTCCAGTCAGCAGATTTCCAGCAGATAGAAGTTAACCGGCTTGACTACCACGGCCCCAGAACAAACAACAGAACAGCTGAACAGCCTGCAAACCTTCCAGAGATACCAGTCACTATAAGGGGGTGTGACCCAGCCAAAACTTGAGAAACTTTCTGATCCTGCTAAAACTGGTAGAGAAATTTCTCCGGTGCTCCTTTCAAATCAGTTACTCTTAAGACCAAAAGCAACCATATTGAACTGTGTGCACTCTCAATGTGTTCCAGAACTCTTGACAATATACAAGTGGTGTATAGCAGAAAAATCTACTTGGAGGGATTTTCCTTACAGCAGATTCCCCCCTTCAATGAAAATCATTGTCAAATTGCTTTGTGTCCACACTAAGGACTTCATCACATGAGGCTGGCAAACTGGCATAGAAACAGGACTGTTACTTTTTTGGTGTTGGTCCTTATCACAAAATGAACTGTGTATCCTGCTTCCACCCTGCTTCCTTTCTGTGATTAGACTATTTCCTGCTACTGATGTGCAAAACCCATCAGTAGCTCACAATGCTACAACATTCCTATTATGTGTAATGGGTTCATTCCGCTACTGGGCCATCATGCCAAGAGTTAAGCGATATCTCCTCATCTCACACACTCTCTCTTCCTCCTTGCTATTCCTGAGCTGTCTGTTTTATGTGTATCTAAAATATTGCAGTCATATTTACTCTTCATTGCTGGAACCTTGGCATTGCTCAGAAATATTACATAGCCACAAAAGTGTGTGAAGGCACAGTTACAAGAGTAGGTGGAAATACAATTATGGAACCCCAGATTTTTGAATCAGCACAATTGTGTGGATGAACACAGGTACAACATAGAAGGTGCTCATCCCAATGTGTATCCATTTTCTATCATAACACTATTGCTGTGGAATAGTAACTTTCTACAATAAGGTCCACATTTTAAGTTAATATTGCATGTAAGCAGAGTTTGGAAATGTAATGGCTAGAATCCAGTAGTATCTTCTATCCATTCTGGTTTAAATATGCGTGGACATCAAATGTTGAACATCCTACTGCCTGTCATACAATGATGCATGCAGATGCACACTTCATATGTAAGCGTACTATACATGTGCTTACAGGACCGGGCTTTAGCACAGCAGGTTAACCACCAGCTGCAATAAATATTGCCAATTGAAAGGTTGGCAGTTCAAAGCCTAGGCTGGAAGTGAGTGCCCGACCTTCAACCCAGCTCACTGCCCACCTAGCAGATCGAAAACAGCGGCGAGTAGATAAATAGTGGGGTGGTATTTTAATGGCACAACAAGGAACTAGCAGAAAAATGCTGGCAATTCGATGAAAGGAGGAAGTCTGTGAACAGGGCTCTTTGGCATGGTGGATGGAGTGACAGCTGGAATTGAGCACAGCCTCCAAGACGCCGAGGATGGGAAAAGCCTATATACCTCTATCTATCTATCTATCTATCTATCTATCTATCTATCTATCTATCTATCTATCTATCTATCTATCTATATACTGTGTCTGTCCTGTTAACGTATAACTGCATTTAATGTTTACCATATATGTGTTCCTGCATCCCCTTAGGGGTAAGAAGGGCAGAAAATAAATACTCTAAACAAATAAATAGATAAATAAATAAATACATGGACAAGTATCCATATTTCACATGGGTGCGTAAGCATAATCAGTTGTGTATTTGATGTCTTGGTTCAGTTCTACAACATTGCCATTCAATACAATCATTTTGTTGCATAATTAATATGTAACTCTACATGTGGAGATTTATGATGTGCCACCTCAGCGTATAATGCCATTCTACTTTTTTGGATTTCAACTCCCAGAATCTCTACTGCCACAATGGCACATTTGTTCCATCTGTTCAGTTATTCCTTCCTTTTTCTCTAGAGATGCCCCTTGTTTGCTTGTATTCTTTTATGAAACTTCTTCTGTTTTGCCATTCTCCTTTTTTTTGGTACATTTCTCTTTTGTAATAACCCTTCTTTTTATGAGCCTTCCTAGCTTCTTTCTTTATTAGTGTTTTCAAATCCCAAATTTAATCTGCTAGATAGCTCATTTCATTTGCAACCACATCCCTTTCCCTTTGTCTTGACTCCCCAATGAGATCTTTGCAGAATACTGTCTTTTTCTACATTTCATTCTCAACATGTCGTTAGCTGTTTCCCTTGAGCATGTAGTTTCTAAAACAAAGTCCTTTTGAAAACACACAGACCTAAATCCTATTGTTAGTTTGAACTAGAGTAGCGCCATTAAGTCACTTGGATTTACTTATGCATTGACTCACCATTTAACAATTTATTCAATGGATCTATTCCTGCTGGAACACTCATTCCCCCTGCATGCCCATTTGAATGGATGGAGGACAAAAATGCTCTTTGGAAATGGAAGAAATACAAGCCATACATTCATGTAGAACAGAATGAGCATTCTTTTTAGGAGCACAGTGAAATTTTCCTCCAATCCTTTTGGAAGAAATGTATTTCCTAGCAATGCATTTAGACATTTAGTTTAGGCAATTTTTAAAGTAAATAAATGGTAGAATTTGGCAGAAGCCCAGCTCTAAAGCTTCATGGCTGTTCTTAAATTGTATAAAGGTAAAGGTAATGGTTTCCCCTGACATTAAGTCTAGTTGTGTCCAATTCTGGGGGGTGGTGCTCATCTCCATTAATAAGCCAAAGAGCTGACATTGTCCATAGACATCTCCAAGGTCATGTGGCCAGTATGACTGCATGGAGCATTGTTATCTTCCCACTGAAGCAGTACCTATTGATCTACTCACATTTGAATTTTTTCAAACTGCTAGGTTGACAGAAGCTGGGCCTAACAGTGGGAGCTCACCCCGCTCCCCGGATTCAAACCGCCAACCTTTTCTTCCACAAGTTCAGCAGTTCAACAATTTAAACTGCTGTTCCACCATGGGCCCCATATCGATATATCTATATATCTATATATCTGTATATCTATATCTTTCTATCTTTCTATCTTGGAAGAGGGGATGGTCAGTGCTCTTTAGTTTTTGCCCAGTTTGAGTATTCACACATTATTGAACAACAACTCCTATCACTTGTGATTATCTGCCATGCGGACTGGGAATTGCAACCCAACAGCACTTGTGGCTCTGAGGTTGGGGAAAAGTTAAAGGGCATTCTAAAATTAGACATCATATCCACAAACCTTGTATCTAAATCAAACTCCACTTTTCTAATCAAGCAGAACAACATCTTCCAAATGTTGCAGTATCACAACTCCAATCAGTTGTAGTCCAGCATTGAGCATCTAATAAAATGACATGGCAGGGTAAATTAGGCACATGGGCCTTGAGTTGGACACACGTGCTTTAAGGTGATCACAAATGGTTATGTCTGCCAAAATTTCTATTGGCTCAAATATGAAATATCTGGTGGATTTCTACCAGCAGAGCTTTAGTGCATTAGCAGAAGTCGGAAGCAGTTGCCTGCCCACCTCCTCTCATCCCATAATATCTAGCAGAGAAAGATCTGGGCTGAAGAATTAAAATGGGGTTTCACCATTTTAAATGCCATATTCTCATTCTATGGAATCCTGGGATTTGCTGTTTGTTGTGGCATCAGAGCCCTCAACAGAGAAGGCTTAATAGCACACAAAATACAAATCCCATAATTCTACAGCACTGAGCTCCTTTGGCACTTGGAAAAGTGAGATTGGTATTAGTGTGTGTGTGTATATGTACTAATTTCTGCTGTGTTATACATTAAAATACCATGTAGACACTTCACTTTCTTTTCTATTAGCTTTTCTTCTCACATGTCATGGGCACTTGAGCATTTTCTTGTACACCAATAAGACTGCGGATTGTAATTTGTGTGAATCACAGCAAATGCCCACTCTGTGCAATGACTGTAAAATGTACATAAAATGTCAATGCTTGTAAATGTGAAGTGTGTCAGCTCTGGGAACACCTTGTTACCTGACAGCCACTTTGGCCACCTGCAAATAAAGATCCATGTTTCTGCCTTTACACTTGCATGTCTTCATTGAATAAGCTGGGCTGAACTCTGAGATTTTGGACAATATTGCTTTTTTGCGTGGGAGTTGCATAGGGCGCATGTAGTGTATCTCTGCATGGAGATCTTCTTGGTATGTTGGACTCCAGCCATAGTTGTATTAATGCAATATAATCACATTTGGCAAGAGACATGTGAGGTG